TGTTAGCCAGGATGGTCTCGATCTCTTAACCTCGTGATCTGCCTGCCTCAGCCTCCCAAAGTGCTGGGATTACAGGCGTGAGCCACCGCGCCCGGCGGGACCCCATCTTTGCTTCCACCAGAGCAGTTCTGATTTAAGCAGTTTGTCTGATGAGTCCTTTAGGCCCTGAGCAACTGCTGAGTGTCTACTGCATTCCAGGTGGGCACAAAGTCACGTGGGGCAGCCAGGTTTTCCAGTCTCAGTGTGTTCCTTCTTTAGAAGGGAAGTCTTCCGTCTCCAACTGTACACTGGGGCCACGTGTGGCTCTGTGGTTCTGTGAGGAGACCCAGAGTCACATGCATTGTGGTTCATACCCCAGAGCTGCCATTTGCTAGTGGTGTGACCTTCTGTAACCCCTTTGTGCCTCAGGTCTCTCATCTGGGAACTGGGATGATAGCGCCAACCTAGCTGGATTGCTGTGACCGCCAACACAATGCCTTCTAAGGGTTCAAGGTGGGTGCTGAGTAAGCCTTAGCTTCTATTGTGACTACCAACGATCCTGATGGTCTTCCCAGTTCTAGGAAGGGGCAGCCATGCAGAACAAGTCTCAAAAGCCAGCAGGAGCAGGAGAGGGGGATTGAGAATCCCCAAATTGATAGGCAGCCCGGGGCTGGGTGGGGCAAAAGGTACTAGGAGGCGATGCCTCTGCCTTTTCCCCTTCTACTGTACCCTGTCCACACTCCATAGAAGTCAGCAGTTCAGCTGTCCTCTAATGCATCCCACACCCCAACACACAACACACAGGCGCCCCAGCCCTCAGATGGGAAAAACACTGTCTGGCACTAGGTCTGGTTGGCTGGAGAAGTGGAGAGGGAGCCAGACAGCCCTTCCATCATGCAGATGGGGAGACCTAGAGTCTCAGGCGTTAGGGAAACAAGTCATTTAACATCCATCAGGACTCAAGCCTCCTGAGCCCCCAGCCTGGACCCCTGCACCCCCTCTGGGGAGCAGAGTGAGAACAGAGCTCCCTAACACTAGACCAGGTGTCCCTTAGCTCCACTCTTCTAGGAGGCTCCCTGAGCACACCCTCTGCGGAGCCTGACTCCCACAGGAGAAGCAGATGGTGCCAGAGTCTGCTGGGAACTGGCTGTCCTGGAGCCCAGCTGTTGCACAGATGTGAGGGGGGAGGGTGGAATGGGGGTTACGAAGGCAGAAACCCTTGGCAGCTCATGCCTGAGTCACCCGTCAGCTCCGGGAGTGGTAATGAGCAGATTAGGGTTATTATAGTCGAATGGCTCGGAGCGCACTTGCTCACCCGAGCAACCGTCGGCGAAGGGCTGATCGCCCACGGCTGCCATGGCCATCACGCCAGGCCCGCCTCTCCCCTGCCCTCTTATTGACCGCACCGCTGCCAAGGCAGCCTCTGTGGCCTTCACACACCTCATTAGAGCTGCCGGGGCGTGCCTACCAGCCCATGGCCCAGACATCACCCCACCCGCTCCTCTTCCCAGGTGTGTCAGGGGGACACAGGAGTCTGACGTGGGGCCTCGATAAGTGGACACAGTGATCCCTGACTAGAGAAACAAGTGTATAGTTCCCCACCCACCTAGAATTGGGGCAAAGACAGGTGTGGCAGGGATTCAGCCTCCAGGGCCAGTCCTTGTCTCTCTGGTCACCTACCAGGGCTCTAAAACCAGTGAGGTTCCTGTAGGTCTGGGCCAGGGACATGTCAATCTCCAAGGGGGGAGGATCCTCCTTCCCCACTGGCCCATGTCATCCCCTCTGCTCCCTCTCAGAGCAGGAAACAGAAACAATCTGTCCCAGCAGCCCAGGGCTGGGAGGCGGGGCTGGGTGTCGGGGTAGTAATGATTCCGAGTACCGAATCGCAGAGACTGATGGACACTTACTATGTCCTAACAGGCACTGAGTGCTGGACGTGTGTCTATCCACTTTGTCTTCCCAACAGCCCCATGCATGAACAGATTGAGCATCCTGAACCCCCAAAGCTGAAATCCAAAATGCTCCAAAATTCAAAACTTTTCGAGTACCCACATGACTGATGCTAAAAGGACATGCTCATTGGAGTCTTTTGGATTTCAGATTTGGGACGCTCAACAGATAAGAATAATATAAATATTCCAAAATCTGAAACCCAAAACTTGTTTTCGGTTTTTTTGTTTGTTTGTTTTTCTGAGATGGAGTTTTGCCGTTATTGCCCAGGCTGGAGTGCAATGGTGCCGTCTCAGCTCACCGCAACCTCCGCCTCCCAGATTCAAGCTTCAAGCAATTCTGCTGCCTCAGTCTCCCCAGTAGCTGGGATTACAGGCATGCACCACCATGCCTGGCTAATTTTGTATTTTTAGTAAAGACAGGGTTTCTCCATGTTGGTCAGCCTGGTTTCGAACTCCTGACCTCAGGTGATCCACCTGCCTTGGCCTCCCAAAGTGCTGGGATTATAGGCATGAGTCGCTGCACCCAGCCCGTTTTTTTGTTTTGTTTTGTTTTGTTTTGTTTTGTTTTGGGACGGAGTCTCACTCTGTCGCCCAGGCTGGAGTGCAGTGGTGTGATCTCGGCTCACTGCAAGCTCCGCCTCCTGGATTCACGCCATTCTTCTGCCTCAGTCTCCTGAGTAGCTGGTACTACAGGCGCCTGCCACCACGCCCGGCTAATTTTTTATATTTTTAGTAGGCACAGGGTTTCACCGTGTTAGCCAGGATGGTCTAGATCTCCTGACCTCGTGATCCGCCTGCCTCGGCCTCTCAAAGTGCTGGGATTATAGCCATGAGCCACCGCGCCCAGCCTGTTTGTTTTTTGAGACAGAATCTGGCTTTGTTGCCCAGGCTGGAGTGCAGTGGCGCAATCTTGGCTCACTGCAACTTCTGCCTCCCGGGTTCAAGCGATTCTCCTGCCTCAGCCTCCCAAGGAGCTGGGATGACAAGCGCCTGTCACCACATCTGGCAAATTTTTGTATTTTTAGTAGAGATGGGGTTTCACCATGTTGGCCAAGCTGGTCTTGAATTCCTGACCTCAGGTGATCCACCCACCTTGGCCTCCCAAAATGCTGGGATTACAGGCGTGAGCCTGTTTTCTTTTCTTTTCTTTTTTTATTTTTTTGAGACAGGGTATCACTCTGTCACCCAGGCTGGAGTGCAGAGGTGCAATCATAACTCACTGCAGCCTCAACCTTCTGGATTGAAGTGATCCTCCTGCCTCAGCCTCCTGAGTAGCTGGGACTACAGGTGTGCACCACCACCCCCAGCTAATTTTTAAATTTTTGTAAAAGTGGGCTTCCACCTCAGCCTCTCAAAATGTTGGGATGACAAGTGTGAGCCATGATGCCCGGCTCTAAGTATTTCTGATAAGAGATATTCAACCTGTATTGTTGTCATCATTGTCATATCCATTTTATAGATAAGATGACTTAGTCCCAGATGGGTTAAGTAACTGGCCCAAGGTCACAGCGCTGGTAAGCAGCTGGGCTTCAATCCAACCATCCTGACTCCAAAAGCGTATTTGAACTACCACCTTCTGCACCTGCCCTGGGGCTTCTTCGCCTGAGCTGGTGCCTCACTGCTGCCCTGCTCATCGTCTTCTGGGAAGACGCCTCTCATCTTGCCAGTCCTGCAGCCAGAAGCCTCGGGTGCTGCCCTAGGGCTCCCTGAATAGGCATCCCTCCTGGCATTCAAACTGCATCCTTCCTGACTAACCTTCCATTCCCCAAGGTGGCCCTCCACACTTTGGAGCCTCAGCTCCCCTCTCACTCTCACGCTTCAGTTTCACACTTCCCTGCTGAATGGTCCCACCTCTGTGCTTTTGCTTAAGCTGTGCACACTTCCCGGAGGGCTCTTTCCCGTATGTCTGCCTGGGCTCCAATGCCCTATGCCCGAGCTCCAATGCCCCCTGCCTGAGCTGATCCATGGCATACAAGCACATATGGAGGCCTGGGGGAAGGAGGCAGTGGTATGTGTGTCAGTGTGGGGAGGTCAGTGACGAGGTTTGGGGCTTTGGGGTCAGCTATGTGGCTTCAGGGCAAGTCCCCATCTCCCTGAGCCCCTTATCCCTAGGGAGAACCCTACCTTCAGTGCCTCTCGGAGCAACAGGGCCAGGAAGGGGTCACTGTATACCAGTTGGTATACCATATCTGCAAAATGAAGATATCCATCCCCGCTTCTCCCGAAGTTTATAATGGTAATCTGTGAGGTTCGGCACACAATGAATCTATAACTACATTTTGTGATAAGTGTCCCACTTGTGAAGTCAAGTGAAGGCCCCCGGTGTTGGCAGTGCAGGAAAACCTGTCCCCTGAGCCCCTTATCCCTAGGGAGAACCCTACCTTCAGTGCCTCTCGGAGCAACAGGGCCAGGAAGGGGTCACTGTATACCAGTTGGTCCCTAGTGACCAGGCCTGGCAGAGGGCCTTTATCCCACTTCCAGTAGCCCAGCACCAACCATCCCCAGCTCCGGGAGGGGGTGGGCGGCACCCTCCTTCCTCCACATTGTTGCCACCTCAGAGAGTCAGAATCCAGGGAGACAGTCTCCTGGCAGCGGAGCTCCTGCTCCCCGCCATGGGTGTCTGTGACGCTGCCGGGCCCACTGGGGGCTGCAGGCACTCCAGCATCAGGACTGACTAGGTCCTGGGAGTGGGAAGGGGACTCCAGCCAGGGACACTGGAGACAGGGCCAGTCTGAGTGCCTGCTCTCCCAGGGGCAGGTGCCAGCATGGTGCCCCCCTCAAGGAGTGTGGCATGTGAGATCGAGGTCCTGGCTGCCCTAGGCTCCTGTGCCATCGAGAGGGAAAGCACCTGGCACAGGTATACAGTAGGTGCTCAGTGATGGGGAGAATCTTCCCTTGGTGGAATTCTGAACACTTTGGGTACCAGCAGAGTCAGAATTCCTAGGGGAGGAGGCAGGCATTTGACAACGGCTGTCGGGAGGATATAGCATGTTCAACCTTCCCCTCTCCATGAGAGGAAGTAGTGACCCCAACGCCAGGACCCTTCTCTGCCCATTCACACCCACCCACTCCCACCTCTCTGCCAGCCTCAGTTGGATGTGGAGCAGAATGTAATGAGGACTTACCTGTCCACAAGGACTTCATAGCTGTTCCAAAGCCATGGATGGGCAGGTGCTAATGCAGCCCCTCGGTCTCCCCCTTCCCTTACTTTTGGGGTGGGCTTGGGACCCCCGGGGGGTCTTAACTCACTGAAGACACGAGGACCCAGCTTCTGAGTATTCCTAGATGCCATTTCTACCCCTAGAAACTTCACATGGAGCCAAAAGCCCATTTGAAGCTCAGTCTGGACCAGGAGAGGCTAATCATAAAATGGATATTTTTTAAGTGTACAGAAATAAGAATTTATTTTTGAAGGCATGATTTATATTTTGAATGGCTAATGCACTCACATGCTTCAAAATTCAAAATTCCAAAAGGACTGACAGTGCAAAGTCGCTCCTCCTTTGGTCCCCACCACCCAGTTTCCCTCTGCAGAGGGAACCTTGTTGCCAGTTCTTGTGTGTTCTTCCAGAAATTTTCTATGTATAAACCGTCACCCTCATAGGGATTCTCATTTGTTATCCTTTTAAAATGCACACACATCCTGCTCTGTACCTGGCTTTCTTCCCTTAAAAACACATCTTGATTATTGTTCTATGTCACTTGCAAAACAGGTTCCTCGTTCTTATTTTGCAGCTGCAGATGACTTCATTGTATGGAAGGACTGCACATTATTTAACTGATCCCTTATTTTTTGTTTTTTGAAATGGAGTCTCGCTCTGTCACCCAGGCTGGAGTGCAATGGCGCAATCTCAGCTCACTGCAACCTCCGCTTCCCGGGTTCAAGTGATTCTCCGGCCTCAGCCTCCTGAGTAGCTGGGATTACAGGCACACACCACCACGCCCGGCTAATTTTTGTATTTTTCGTAGAGACGGGGTTTCACCATGCTGGCCAGGCTCTTCTTGAACTCCTGACCTCATGATCCACCCATCTTGGCCTCTCAAAGTGCTGGGATTACAGGCATGAGCCACCAGGCCCGGCTGATCCCTTATTGATGCACATTTAGCTTGTTTCCAGTGTTTGGTAATTACATGAAACGTTGTAATAAATAACTTTGTACCCACACCACTTCACATGTGTGCTAGCAGACCTGTAGGGAAATTCCCAGGAGTGGAACCGCCGAGTTAGACGTGGTTATGCACAGTTGTCAAGGAATGGAGAGGTCGGACGGCCCTCCTTAGAGGTTACACCAGGCTACACTTCCACTGGCCCTGTCTGCATCTGTCTGATCCCCATAGCTTTGCCAGAACAGTGTTATCAAACTCTGTGAGCTTTGCCAATCTGATATTTGAATAATGGTATATCAGCGTGG